ACCTTTGGTCGATTTGGGCCTTCCCCCCCCCCCCCCCGGTTTTTTCTAATGATTCTACGTTGATTGACAACCACACCGTCACATGTCATCTCGGCTTATCTAAGACCGTTTTCCACCCCCAGTTCCACACCCTCGATTCTATTCACGTTATGATGCTTATTACTTTCCACTGCCTCGGCTATCAGCCGCTGTGGTGTGAATCGCAGTTTCCGTCTTAAAACTTCCACATTATCCAGACCTACTCTATGTCCCGTGAGTAAGGTATGTACCGCCATCTCTGAGTCTCTGACCAGTGTTTGGTGTTCTTCTGCATTCCTTGGTGGTTTGTTTATCCTACTTTTATCCTCACCAATTCTGGTGTGTCCAGCAATAAATCTACCGATCATCACCAAACATTTTCGAAAACGCCGACTACCCAATCAGTTCCAAGTAATTTTCACGCGATTAAATGCGGGCTTCTTTTGTGTGCTTTTATGTGCTAAGTATGTTAGTTTTCTAACATCGGTGCAGTACTTTCCTTCATTTCCAGGATCTTTTCCTTTCATCAGACTTCAAAGTCCTCATTTAGACTGCATTAAGCCGATGGGGTTTGACGTCTCGAACCATGCAGCAAGAGAGGGCTTTCTGAAATCTACAGCTTATTTGGTACAACCTCAGACACGCCAAATGCCTACTCCCTGCCGTATAAATGTAAAAGCCGTTGACATCTCTCGAAGATGCACATTTTGTAGCGTAACCTAGGCTGAACTCTTGGGCTCGTTTAATTTGTGAACAGAATTTTTTCAATAGTTGGATGAGAGGTCCGCTTCACAGATGTCTCCGGTAGGTTTTTCGAAAACCTACGCCAAAAGAGGACATGATATGTTTCGACGCGGTTAGTCCAAAATGATATGTTATCGAGATGCGCACCAATGATAGTTCCTGATGAGAAATAAACAGTTGTACAATGATTCTCGGCTTTTTGACATAGACCGACTACACCAATAAGACGAAATCACAATTCATAAGACTCCAGTTCTCCTCGCACTTCCAATAATTTAACCCATCCCGTGAGTGACCCACTAAAATTTACTGATAGAGACTGCGCTTGAAAACCGCTTGTATGTACGAACTAATAATATTACGAGATAATTGACTCACTAAAAATGCCATGTTTCGGGGTTGACCGATAAGAAAGTTGTGCCAACCAAGCATTCGTTGATTTAAAGCAACCACATGAGACATGTAGTTTCAGATTACACCAAAAAAACGCAAATAACCACCACAGTATTCTGCTGCAATCGTATAACTGGAGTGACTCAACGCACCGGAACAATGAGTTTAGTGCTGTCTAGAACCCAATTGTTGCAATATTTCAGTATAGATGACTTGTAAGTCTTGTGTAAGGCCTACCCAACCTGATAAATTGTTTCGGACTAACTATCCCTCAACAATTAGAAAAAAGAAGACCTGATTGGTAAATAATGTAGAGTCGAGCTTCCTTTAGTAGAGGTTTACAGTAAGGGCCACCAAAGGTACCGTCATTGAGCAGCTGAAGCATCTGTTTGGTCTGTTTGTCCGGTCTGTTGTGCTTCTGCTCCATCACCTGGCATGTTTTCACTGGGAAATTTTGATTTCCGCAGACCTGGAATGAAAGACACAGAGCAACTCATCGTGAAATTCTTCCCTTCGTCTGAAAAAAGCTTTTTGAAACGACTGTATTTGGCAACTTGCGTACATTTAGTTGCGTTTAAATGGGCACTTTCTAAAAGACTGGATTCTGGTTCTCTCGTCCAGGAACTCCTTGATCGCGTATATGTTTTGCCGTCTTCGTAAGTCATATTCATACGTGAGAATACAAGCTTGGCAGCACGTTCAATAAAAATACTTCAGTCAAGAATCAGTGACCCAATAATAAGTATTCCGAGCGCTAGTAATGTGCACACGTATGCGGATGTCGGCATGTAACACCTTGGTATAATCCAGCCAAACGACTTTCCTGGAGCATATTGTTATTGGGAATCCTTGGGATTTTGTTACTCTACATGAACTAAAGGACGCTAGTAGTGTTTTATGCCTGGCACATTTCACAGAGAACAGCGTAAATAGACATATTGAGTGTACTGCATATCCCTCTGTATGCACCGTTTCGTGACACAATTTTGCTAAATAAGTTAGACAGCAAGACTCAAAAGAGTGCTTGGTTTGAGAATCAGCCGAAACCTTCAACGGTTAAAAGCCATTCAGGAATTTGTGGAGGGATGAAAATTTAAGCACTAAGGTGTCAGATGTGATAAAGCAGATGCTGTGATAAAGCAGACTGTTCATGAACTGCAGTTTTACTCGAAGGATCTTGCCGAAGGGTGCTACGAGTGATATACCGTGTGTTTATTTTTTTGGGCCCAAATACCCCCTGGAGCAACTCACATGAGGAGGATCATCTTAAAAAACCTGAAAAACACCCAGGGAATTCCACTGAGTTTCGACTTTGTTTTGCGTAAGCCTGAGCATTTCAGAAGTACAATGGATGAATGCAAGAAATCGTGAAAACAACTACTACAAAACCACCGCTTTTGACTCACCAAACCTTCGAATTTGATCGGCCAAGTCAGGAAAATCGTTTGCAAGTGCCATATCCGCTGGGCTTTGGCCAAAAAGGTTGCGCCCAGTCACATCTGCACCGTGATCTCTTAACCATTCGAATGTTTCTAAAAAGGCGAGCAAGTTCTTTACCGCGATATTGAGGGGGCAGACTTTGTTTCAAAGTAATTATCTGCCAAAGAAATTGCAATCATCCGTATGACGGCAGTTGCTCTCCCTTAAAAATTTTGAGAATTTTTTGCAGTAACTTGGAAACGGCAGCTTTCCCACGAACAATCCAATTAAGCCACCGAAAAAACTTTCTAACTTTACTAGCCTGTCGTTTTCCCAATAACTTTCCCGCCCCGAAAACTGATCTTCAGTGTAAACAAGTCTGTTCTATACAGTGCTCCTTAGCAGTTAAAAACAATTATATGGAAACCAAAGATTTGACAAACACTACTTGTCAATCTGTGGTTTTAGTTGGGCCTCTGGTATGATGATAACCATTGTCTGTCTGCAACGAAACCTGAGCAAACCAACGGTGTGCATCGTTTTGAATGGATTCCTGATTGCTTGGTGGTTCTGTTTATACCCAAAGGCTGGAACTCATTGTGTCTGGGAGCAAGTCAAATTCAATAAACTTCACGTTACGTGTAAAACGCGCAAAATAAAATGTAAAGGATTTTTATGAAAAAGTTTGTAGGCTTCGTAAAAGGGATTATTTATCACCTCTAACCAAAAATCATGCATTGCAGGGAGATATCATGGCCATCTTTTTGAAAATCTTGTGATACTTATACCATTTGTAATAAGTAAACTAATACCGACGAGTTGTCCACTGGTTTCTTGCCCAAGTGGCTTAGACAGGTCTTATTCACCTCCGTTTGTTAAAACTTACGCGTGTGACCGTTGCGCGCCGCGTGGTGCATCGGGGTACACAACAGTTCATCATGCTGATTTATGTCAGCACCATGATCCACTAGGACCTAAAAGTAAGAGAACAGATCGACTGCTAAAGAACTGTCGCGCCCATAGTCAGTGGCTAGTTTCGCTAAACAGGCATCAAACATTTGAATTCCTACTTGTATAACCAGTCACGTGCTCCCGACATGTCAACCTCCATGCATTAAATACAATCTAATTAGCTAGAACCTGACCGCTTTTTTCGACAACTTTTGCTTATTTGTTCTACTCGCTTCATATTCTTGGTTGTTACGCAAAACGTTTTGGACTCGATGATCGGGTCAGTCACCAAGTCAATAAAATAAATTTTTCGGTGGCCAAGTTCGAACAGACAAACTCATCAGCGGGCTTGTCCTGATATTAAGCTACTTGAGCAGATTCGTTCTTCAGCTTTCCTGCATATTCATTACAGCGACTGCACCTTCTCATTTGGAAGCGGTGATCATTACCATAAAACTGATTCTTTAATTTTAACTCATCAAACAATCAGCCGATTTTCTCTGACTTAAAGACATCCGCACCAACTCACACCATCCGATAGCCAATGACATCCTCTCTCGTAACTTTCTGCGGTTCTCATGGTGGAAGATTCTAATGCATCCGTGCTTCACCATTGGTCTTCATATAGTTACACTTTTTCAAGCCCAACCTGAGTGTTTATCTATCAAAGTCAAGAGTGAAACCCAACCGTCTTCTCATGTGCATTTATAGTTTCCATCTCACACTGAAATCCTCAGCAAGCTTAGTTAAATAATGAAGTAAATGTTCACGGTCGACACGTGGCATGTTGTAAACTAATCACCAAAATGTGCACGTACATTGTTCAACCTCCGATTTGTACGTATTGTCAAACGAGACATGGAACAAAATCTCGTCATTCATCTCACTGGACTTGTTCTCAAATGACCTGCTCTAAATTTACCGACGTGTATTTTTAGATTATACGGGCATGCCCATTTGGACCATTGATTTGTCTCAATCGGCCTCCCGTTTCAGAGTTAACGAACATCCTAATACAGCTTTCAGTTTGTACGAAAGCTCTGCTGACCATCCAGGTTTTTTTTGTTTATCTACCTTCCGAATTCATGTGAAGTTTTGTAAAGTCAGAAAATGTTAACTGTTTGAGAGAAGGTGCTTGTAGCTTAGCAACTCGCAGTTGTCACATGTCTGAGAAATGCAGTCTTCCGATTCAATGGCACTACGGGAATTTCATCATGTTGAAAAGCGCATTCATTTGGTGGCCGCGCGAGTAAGCCAACAATAGATTGGGTAGGGATGGTATATTGAAACCTACCCGGAAGCTCTAGTTTGTCAAACTACACACCCAAGTGAACTCATGAGATTCTAGAAGCTCCTTAATCATTGGGTATTGCAAAATACCTGACCGAACTTGGTTTAAAATCGCCTAACGGATATGCTAGAGAACCAGGCAGGTAAAAATACGTTGATTGGTGATTCTCATATATCGCACGTCAATCCCTGCGGCATATGGATATGTACTTCAGAGACTGAACGCCAAACTTTTTGTACTACATTTGCTGAATTTTCCTCTCACTAAAACGCTGCTTGGAACCTGACCCTCAAAAATAGCTACCTAATTCAATACTATGGGCTTCACCGCACCCTACCTAACCTCACTCAATAATAAGCCAAAAGTCATTAACGTAATCAGGTCTTGAGGTCACCTCTTTTCCAAAAAGTCCAGACACAGTTTATGGGGAAGTTAGCATAAAATTAGGCTGTAGAACGTCAGCAACATGACCTAGAGCTGTGTAAATCGAGGAACAGATAAGATTCATGAGTGACCTTTAGTTCAACGGCGACTGTTTGCCAGCCGTCAAGGGCAACGGGCCTTTTTGTCAAAACCAGTTGTCAACCTCAGATTTCTAACTGTTTCTCAAGCTCAAGTTTATAGCCATTTGAAATATTTCTGATGGCGCATTAAATAAAGGACTGGATACAATCCGGTGGCCGAAAATTAATTTACCAGGCCTCACTTAGACCAACGGGTAACAAAGGTTGTTTTAGAGCCACAGTAGAACGACAAACAGGAGAGTGAAGATTACTTGGTTTGAAATTGATTCCGGGTGGCTCCCACAAAACATTTGCAACTTTTTCCTCGAGCTGGTAACTTAATGTTGGCGTTTTCAAATTAACTCGAAGGATAGGGGGATCATTTTTTGTGGTAACTTAACATACAATGGACCACCGTATTCTTTGTTCGCTCACTTGTATTTTGCAAATCCTCCAGCTTTAGTATGATGCCGGCTGAAGGAGATGTCTGGAAACCAAATGATTGCAGTATACCGTCTTTTCCTTATGCTTGCTTTAAATGAACTGGCGAACAACATTACTAGAGGACTAGTAGTGCAAAGGTGGATACTACTGATGAGGCATGCGAGTAAAATGTGGTTTTCTCGTAAATCCTCTTCGCGTCTATTGAAAAGTGAGATTTATTATGGAATTTGTGGAATCGCTTTGTAACCTTCGTTTACGTTTAAGTGATAGCCAATGAGTATCCAGGAAATTTCAGGAATACTCATTTTAGAAGAAGACAGATACAGTTTTTATAAACAAGACGTATATGAGAGTTTTGCTTCCCTGCCCAATAGTCTGCAAATGATCAGTTGATGTTTTTTAATAAGTAACTCTGCAATGAAGGCCTCCTTTCTTTCACTGGTTGAAGTGATCGCATTTACTTCATTCAACAACCTTATAGTTAGTGAGTCGTAAATCTGGACGTTCTGGGTTAATCGAGTTGGGAGCTGTGTTAGGATTCCAAAAAAGCTGTCATTCTAAGGTGGCGTAACTCAAACAAGTTAAAAATTACTTCTAAACACTTCGGGTTACCCCAAGCAGCAGCAATGTGAACTGGCATCATCCCGGTCGTTTCATCCACATAGGTGATATTCTGTAACACAGAACACAACGAGGCTGGTTAGTTTCACGCAATACATGGCTACATGCTCTTTCAAGTCAACTTACTGCTTTACAAACTGACACTTTATCCAACTACAAACTTGAAAATCCCACCCTAATCTCGCTAAATGCATCGGGCCACAAAATGGATGTCCCTTATGGGTTGAAGTTACCTTACCCTCCATCCCCTTCCCTGTTTTCGATAAAATAACTTGGAATCCAAGCAGTAGAAAAATTTACTTGGTTTGAAATTGATTCCGGGTGGCTCCCACAAAACATTTGCAACTTTTTCCTCGAGCTGGTAACTTAATGTTGGCGTTTTCAAATTAACTCGAAGGATAGGGGGATCATTTTTTGTGGTAACTTAACATACAATGGACCACCGTATTCTTTGTTCGCTCACTTGTATTTTGCAAATCCTCCAGCTTTAGTATGATGCCGGCTGAAGGAGATGTCTGGAAACCAAATGATTGCAGTATACCGTCTTTTCCTTATGCTTGCTTTAAATGAACTGGCGAACAACATTACTAGAGGACTAGTAGTGCAAAGGTGGATACTACTGATGAGGCATGCGAGTAAAATGTGGTTTTCTCGTAAATCCTCTTCGCGTCTATTGAAAAGTGAGATTTATTATGGAATTTGTGGAATCGCTTTGTAACCTTCGTTTACGTTTAAGTGATAGCCAATGAGTATCCAGGAAATTTCAGGAATACTCATTTTAGAAGAAGACAGATACAGTTTTTATAAACAAGACGTATATGAGAGTTTTGCTTCCCTGCCCAATAGTCTGCAAATGATCAGTTGATGTTTTTTAATAAGTAACTCTGCAATGAAGGCCTCCTTTCTTTCACTGGTTGAAGTGATCGCATTTACTTCATTCAACAACCTTATAGTTAGTGAGTCGTAAATCTGGACGTTCTGGGTTAATCGAGTTGGGAGCTGTGTTAGGATTCCAAAAAAGCTGTCATTCTAAGGTGGCGTAACTCAAACAAGTTAAAAATTACTTCTAAACACTTCGGGTTACCCCAAGCAGCAGCAATGTGAACTGGCATCATCCCGGTCGTTTCATCCACATAGGTGATATTCTGTAACACAGAACACAACGAGGCTGGTTAGTTTCACGCAATACATGGCTACATGCTCTTTCAAGTCAACTTACTGCTTTACAAACTGACACTTTATCCAACTACAAACTTGAAAATCCCACCCTAATCTCGCTAAATGCATCGGGCCACAAAATGGATGTCCCTTATGGGTTGAAGTTACCTTACCCTCCATCCCCTTCCCTGTTTTCGATAAAATAACTTGGAATCCAAGCAGTAGAAAAATGTGCGGTCAGTCGAATACACATGTACGTCACACGGAAGACTCGAATCTAAATCAGTCGCAACATTTCGCACGTTGGCTGTTAAAAGTGAACTGAAAATGATTGACATGCATGGGGCATTTCATACGCAGATAAGAGCTATGGCAAAACTACGACCTAACACTAAGTACGCGGCGGTACATTTGCACCCTTGGAATAGGAATTATATGGAAAGCAAATATTTTCGTTAAATACCAAATATTTTCATCAGCGCTTGAAAATGATGCACTGGTGTCACATAAATCATCTGATCAAAATTGCATAAACACTCCATGCGTTAGTACAATGCTTTTTGGTAAAACTACATTTGATGGTATCGTGATCTATTCAACCGGGATTTTCATCCTTTTAGTGAATCCCGTCTGCCCTGAAAAGTCTAAAGTCCCCTTACAGCTGCTTCATTCTAGTTGTGTTTCATCCGCACCGCACGAGAACCCGGTAAGGTTCTAAGCTCACGCTTCTCGGACAGCAGCTGAAAGCTGAACCTTTCGGAAACCAGCGGCTTTTCAGGATTGTGATTTACTTGCACTTTCAGCTTTCTGTCTACTCACATTGATAGAGCGAGGTGATTCGGGCTGGCGATAAGCAATTACTGATCGATAATCGGCAGAATCAGCGACGTCACAATAAAGTACTCGATTGTAAACTGTCAATTCCAAACACCTGGTCGGCGTGCAGCCGCTGCTCCATGGGCACACAACTACTGCATCCCAGTTATAACACGTGAATGGGAAAGCACGTTCACGCCCAAGTGATTTGCATTCGGATCCCGGTTTTTTAATCAATGTCCTTGGAAGTCTTCTTACTGACAAGTGGTTCATCTGCCTTCCAGGGCATTCTGTGTATGCGGTACCATGGAAGCTTGTGGGAGCAATAGTGACACATGCCACAGGTCTGGAATCAAACTCCTGGCACACTCGAGCAAATGTGATACTTGTGAGCTACAAGGAGACCGAAACAGAAGACCAAGCGCTTCTGTATTATAAATGCATAAGTGCTGTACTATGAAGAGCAGACAGAATGAAAACCTGCGAAATATCTTCAATTTTAGAACATAGACCGAGATTTGTTGACGTTTAATAAAATTCCATGTTGAACTCATGTTGAAAGCACTATGAACGTTAATTTTTGAAGGGCATGGTCACAGATATAAAAAGCAAGCGCAGGCGATGGATTTGGGATGGTTGCATGAGAACACTAAGTAAGAAGAGAGAAGCGACTCATTCGAAGTCATTCCACCAACGATTCAAGTTAGACAAGATGAATCCCAACGTATGTAAAAATGTTTGGTATGGAAATGCGCGTGTAAATACCGAGGAAAGGACAAAAAATGCGGAATGCTCTTCAAGACGCCGTAAGCGCTAGCACAGTCAATACTCGCATATCATACTGAGTCTGGTGTGAGATTCAATGACAAGAATGTGAACTCATGGCCATGTACCACGCATAAAAGTGTCGTAAGTGCGCAGAGGGCCCACAATGGCGAGCAAACACAAAGCACTGACTGTGACCTTAGGCAGTCCTAGTCCAATAACAGCCAATAACAACCTTGGCGGATTGAGGAAAGCAGATCCCTCGATGAGAAATGATGTTCACAACCGACTACACGTAGCGTTAAGATTATGGCGAGGGGCTATTCCTCAGCACCATTCTTCTGCTTCTTCTCATTCCACATAGTCACTTAGCGCCTATCCGAGACTATGTTTATCCCAGTTTGCTCGGCGCTACCGAAAAACGAGTAGGTCAGGCTTGATGAAGGACGATGAAATAGGTGCTCTTAACTTCTCAAAAATGGTGTATCCCAGGCGACGGAGATATTTTGCGAGTTTCCTTGCAACCCGATTATGACGAGCACATCTATCATCATGCGTGATCCAGCAGGACTGCAAAATATGCACAATGGCACCACAATATGCACCACAATGGCCACATTTTCCAAGACAGAAGATCCTCTGGCCACCATGGCCATGCTGAGTGCTTCTAACTCTTGTCCTGAGCAGGTTGCATCGGAGCTGCATACTGTGGATAAATATGCGAGGAAACTCTCGTTCTGGGAATACAATCCATCGGTTAGAAAGAGGCGAAGCGACTAACTCTCGTAAACCCCAACCTTCAACGCAATTGTGAAGACCATCACTCCAAGCAGCCACCGGCTCTTCCTTGTTTAAGCATGCACCACGGACTCGGATCGGAAGGTTAAGATTCCGGACAATCTTCCAAAACGCGGAACCGTTGACCACATTGCGTAGTACTTGGCTAGAAAGAAGATTGTGGATACGCACTCTCCGGTGTACCCAGACTTGAGACACCACGTCCCCTCCCCCCAGTTGTTTTGGCGTGAATGTAGCTGATCGGGGTGTCCTTCCGTAGACGTAGCCAGCCAGGAATAGATTACCTGAAACAATTATTCAAACTTTTGAGCGTCTTCAAGTGGACTTGACCGAGTACGAGCGAATAGGTCAGCCCTGGTACGAGGTAGTTCCTCTGATCTTCATTATTTGATGCGGCTTCAACGGGGCACGCCTTGCATCGTCGAGCAGTTTGAGCACATGCTGTCGGTGGTCGAAGACTCCTTTTCTCTTGAAGGTAAAGGGAGTGCCCAAATATGTTACGGTGTCTGTCGGACCCAGAGGAGTGATGAGTTCCTCGACGAAGCAAAACGGTTTGACTGAGACTCCTGTAGCCTGACATTTCTTGTCTCCACAAATCATCATCGCTTCCGACTTTCGGGCGTTTATCTTCATACCAGGTTTTCCCAACTCTACCGCAGCAGCTTCAAGCTTCTCCTTAAGGCGAGCCTGACTTTTTGCATACACGACCCAGTCGTCAGCAAAGGCAAAACCATCCACTGGGGTGTCATAGAACTGGTATCCCATTTGCGGCATCGACAATTCAAGAAACTTATTTATTGCCATGATAAACAGTAATTGGGAGGGTGAATTTCCTTTTCTCACACACCTGTGGCTGAGAACCTCGGAATTGGGGAAAACTGCCACAGCGTTCTCATAAATGTGTATAATGTATCGAACCAGACGTGATGATGCTCCAAACTCCTCGGCAGATCTGACGATTGTGTCATGCAAATCCGAATAAAACGCTTTCGAGATATCAACAAACGCCAAGATGAGATTAGAAGCAGTCGCCGAGGAGTGACGAAACAGGGCATGCAACAGCGATGTATCTTCCAAACAGTCGTCTTGATGCAGAAATGCAAACTGAAGTGAGATCAGTTGCAATCCACGATTTCGGCAGCCAGTAAGCACCTTATGAAGGTAACGGACAAGAATGGATGACACGGAGTTCGGTCTCAGCTGGTCCGGGGAGGTCGGACATGGAATCCTCGGAACTAGGGTAATAAGGGTTCGACACAGATGTGGGGGACAACCCCCACATAATAACAGTAAGTTGAAATATCCAGCGAGCACGTTAGCATTGAACCGGCGGAGCGTTTTGGGTGTGAGCTTGTCCAGACCCTGGGACGAATTGCCCATTAGACGGATCGTACAGCCGACTTACTCTCCTGTAATTGGCTCGATCGGGCTCCAATTGAATAGTACTACTATGCGACTTGGCCGGCTATCCACGTGTTTTGGATCTGAGAGGACGTGTTTTCAATACCACTTGCCGTCCAGAGGTAGGCCGCATTTACCATTGTATAGATCCTTCCATGACTCATCAAGCACAGCAGACGCAGCATCTTCCCCTCTTTGGTGGCATACGGTCTGGATGGTGGTGTAGTTAGCTTGGCGGATCTGCTTTCGATTGACCGGAGACAGTTTTCCAGGTGTATGGAAATGTTCTGGAGGCGTGTAGGTCCAT